CACGCGGATATATGCAATCTACGCACAATAACTATGTCTGATTAGGGCCTGTCATTAGACCGCACACCTTCATCTCAAGAGCCCAGATGAGCGTAATTAGTGTTTCAGGCGGCGCAGAAAGCAGTTGTTTGGCAATTACTGCTTCCTCCGTTCTCTCACTTCAAATAAACTGACATGTATATAACAGCTATTGCAGCCATCACTCATTGTCATTCGTCTGCAACATGCCACCCACAGAGAGGCTCAAACAAACAGCTAGGTAGGCATACGTTGAATGTTTTGCACAAGGAACTTGTGTTGTGACAGTGGAGATGTAGGCCTTATTTGACACGCAATTTTGTAAGGATTTGTGGTACTTTTTGGGGGGGAGGGGACAAACTTAAGGCTCACAGCAACGGATTTGGAACTAGCATCATTAAGGTTTTCTAAATTCAAGCGTCTTCCACAAGCAATGCATCATTCAAGTTGGACCAGGGCCTGTGCAAGCATTGAAAAAACTCTGAGGAGTTTATTGCCGGGCAGCCTTATACGAGTGTCAACTATTACAAACAGCCCCAAGGGCAGCTTGTAGGAATGCAAAACATGTTCACGTGTTTCAAGTGCGAATCATTGAAAAAAAAAATTTTTTCCATACACAAATATTCAAGTCATTTATGAGACCATGGCCTGTTTTCTCACTGCATTGTGACCACCGTATTCTGAGCTCTGGGGAATCATATTTGAGAATGTTTGCGTCCAGGCAAAGATGAGGGGATCAGAAAGGCAGGATAAAGTTTTTGGGGTGTGTTGGGATTGACCATAAATGGAAAAAAATGGTGAGGTCACCTCATTCTGTCATTTATCACCCACAGTTACACAACAGCTGTACAGATTTCTACATGTCGGCCTTTGAAACAAAAAAAATTTTAATAACTCACCAGGTTTTGTGTCATGAATTTCACTCCTGACAGGTGGATTCATAAGGAACCAACACAAAACAGAAGTTTTTGTCATTTCTTCTCTACACTTGGTACCCCCTCAAGTGCGGAAATCACTTGTATGTGTGCAAGCTAAACCGTTGGTGTCACTGGGTTTTGCCTCCCTCGCAGGTGTGTGTTCATCTGACCCGTAACTTTACACCCATTCCCGCTTACTCATGCATGAAGATGTGGAAAATCTGGCACACAAACACCTCAGCTCAAAGAAATGCTCCAACATGAGGGCGCCACCACTGGAGACAGGAGGACAAAAGAGGTCAGAAACTTGTCAATTAAATGCATGCATGGGGGTCATCAACAAAAAAATTATTTATGAACGTGTGCATGATTAATGGATTTGACAGGGTTGTCCCGCATCATGGAGCACCGCACAGCTAGAATAACAACATACTGGCCAGTAGAGTAATCAAAACGCAGGCCTCATTTTACCTTATTATTTATCCCAAAACAATATCATGCAAATTTACATTGACCTTTTACATAAGTGTTAAGCGTAACGTGCACAACGGTACCCAAATTGCATGTCTATGATCACAAACACAAGGTAACGTATCAGTGCTAGCTCTTTTAAAATCGAGAGTCAGAACGTACCGGAATGCCCTCGCAAGTGGTCAAAAATAGACAGGTACACTTACAATCGCGTCAGGTTACAAATGCGTAATTGGCGCATTCATACCCATGCTGCTAAAAGCCACAACTCACGCGGAACGGGTTCACCAATGAACCAGCCAAGATAGCCATCGCTGACACCCACGTCACTCACCAGGTTAGGGCACCCTTTTAAAACCATACACACTGAAATTCACAAATTCAAAGATACTACACTACAATGGTGACCCCTAAATGTACCTCACATGCAGGTTATTTTGTTTAACCATTTTTCAATTTTTACCCGGTTGCTCGATTAGTGGGATATTCTTCAGACATTGATAGCTACTGCCCTGGATGGCAGCCAATACAGTAGAACCAAACAATTCTAAATTGGATCATAACTTTGAATTTTTATTCACACCAATATATAGCTAAACATTGTAAAAAGGAGCCACGCATTACTTACTCAGAGCACATGGCAATCATTGAAACAGGCTCGTTTTGTGAATGAAAAAAAAAAAAAGAAATCCTGCATTGACGCATTACTAAGATTCATAGAACGATTTCATGGGTTCTTCACGAGCTCAAGCGTCACCTCTCAACAAAGTTTTGTGGAAATCTCATGACTGCTTTCTAAATTATATTGCACGCTGAAAAAAAAACAGCAATCAAAACACAAAAGTTGGCACCGTAGTGATTGTTTTGATTACCCTGTCACTGCCTGCGACTGTAACTGGGGCATTGTGAAACACAAGTGCGCCGCGGGGCGTGTGTATTTGTATTGTCAAAAAGAAAGTGTGACAGTGATCACGTCACATTTGGCTCGATACAGCCTCCCCCCCACCCCCACCCATTTGTGATGAATACCAGGTCAAGCTAATCAGCTTAGCACTGACACAATGCTGCAAACATTTCTTTCAGCTGATTCACACATATGCATTTTTTTTTTTTTTTTTTTTTTTTAGGACTGGCTAATCTGGCGTTGACCTGAGTGGTTTACACTTGGCAGGAATATGTCTTTTTATTGGCGGGTCAGATGAAAATTAATACAATGTGCAAACCAAAGTGCTTTCCAAGGAATTCCAGAGACATGGAAAGTTAAAGACAAGGGACTGTTTCAATCCTGGGCACGAACCTTTCGCTGCTGTGCTCATACAACTGAAACATCTTGGCACGATACCCAAAGTAGAGAAACAGACTCAGAGGACCAGAAGATCTTTATCGAAGCAGCGGTAGCACTAAGTATATTGCTAACTGTTGACGAAAGCATTTGAGTATGTTGATACACAGCGATAAATGACAACAACAACAAAAAAAACATATGCTAAAGTTAGCTTACCATGTTGCTGACTCTCAGTTCTGAACATTTCAATTTAATACTCCGCAGTCTCCACTTTGCTGCAGTGGTCTATTTTTCTTGATGCCCTTAAATTATGCAGGTGTACCTAATCAAGTGTCAGGTGAGCATTTATGAGACTCAACTAGATTCATTGTCGACCGCAGCATTTGTCAGACCATCCCGTGCGATTGTCTGCAACCTGAGCACCTGACACCTGCGCATCCCCATGGTGACACATCAAAACAACACCCAGCTCTCATTCTGTCCCACGCTCTCATTCCGTTGTTTTTTTTTTCCTTTCACGTTAAACGCAGCATTCCCAGCACACACACACACAGCTTCTCCTCGCCTGCGTCCACTCTTTTTAATAACCATAAGTAGCCCAAATTACAAGTTGTCGCTCAGCCAAGAACTGCACAACACTCATGCGCTCGTGTCGGGGACGAGCATGGGCGACGGCCACCTCTTATTCATCTCCCTACTTCCTCCTCGTCGCTCCATGACGTTATGCAGACTCCAGCTGCATGAATGAAGCCTGCCCAGCTCAAATCTGAATGAGCTGGATTGGGAGTAGGAGGGGGTGTGGGGGGTGGGGGGGATTTCCCATCTATTCTCGGTTTCCCAGTTTCCTTTCTTCAATGCATTTGGGATCCTCTTTACCAAATTCCACGCCCATCATCATGTCGGATCGTCAATCCCGTGCAGCAATTGTATTTGAACTTCCACCCAGTCTCTCTTTGGATTGTTTGAATTGCAATCTGATGCCTGTCAAACAATCCCATGTACACAATCATCACCAATATGCCCAGAGTCGTCCCAGCTGACATGTCATGAGTCATCTGTCACAGCAGACACAAGGGCATACTGTATTTAATTGTGCATGGGAGTATATTGCAGACATGATCACAGCCAGACATACGACCATTAATGAGCCTCGAGGTGCACATGAGTATTACCTTATATACTACCAACAATGAAAGCTCTATTGCCAAATTCAGATTTTTTTTTTTGAGGGGGGGAATTACACTTCTCCATTTGCGCGCACTCAAGAGTTCAATTCCCACAAGAAGTCAGCATATTTTGAGACCTCGGTATAAACTGTTTTTCTTTGGCTTTTAAGTCTCTTTTTGCAGCACGTACTCCAAAAGATGCAAGTGCCTTATTACACGCAAATAAACAGCAGAAGTCACATTAAGTAGGCCGACTCCACTTACAGTGGTGATCTTCTTTTCGTGCATTTACAGGACGTGTATTTGCAATGGATATAGAGCATTTGTTTCCAAATGCAAACAAGAGCGTCCCAGAGTGGATTCTGTTCATTGGATCTTTCGCAGCACTTCCAGCGTTCTGACCTCTGTGCGATCAATGTACAGTTGTCTTTTCTTGTTTTCCTTGAGCCAAACGCAGTAGTGTACTTTCATGCAGGTCACGATGGGAGAACTATTCACTGCATGTGGTCGTTGGCGTACAAAGTTTGAGAGCCACCGCTTTTGTTGATCTGATGCAGGTGCTCTTCTTAAAGTCACGGTTAGGTTTTACATTTAATCACAAAACAAACTAAATACAGTGCTGTACAGTGAACATCGCTTGTTTTCAGCATCAACTAGATTACTAATATTAAAGCAAGGGATCATCTTGTGGTGGCGGTGGTGTGCCTGCTTCATGAAAGTGTGCCTTCATGAAACATAGAACCAGTAGAAACCTGATCATGATAGAAAAGAACACAAGCCTCACGTTACCTTTGAGCAGGGGAAACTTTGGTATTACATTTTTGGGGCAGTGACAGTGAGTCATGTCGTGGCTGCGCTTTGCGTGCGTAATGGACCAACATCACCTCCTTTCGTATCCTCTCAAGGGGGAGGTGAGAAGCTCTGGTCTATTTCTAAGTGTCGCACTATGAGTATAAGACAATGGCTTGGTAAAAATAGCCCACGTTGCGTGCACTGTCTTGCAGAGCAACACTTTGCTCATTGGATTAATGGAATAAAGCCTCCGATTGCGCAACAGCTGTTCGTTCAGTTACATGAAACTTGGTGCATTTATACACAGAACGGGATTGTTACGGACTTCACGGAACAGAAATTAATTGTTACCAGTTGGTGGAGGAGCGATGGTTGAGGATATCCTCCTTGGCCGTGAGCAGTGACAGGCTGTAGGTATCAAGGTTCACCGTTTGCATGCTCATGGTGCTTTTAAGTGTCCAGACTTCTTCCCGCAGGCTCGTCTCTTCACTGGTCCCCGACTTGTGCTCGGGGTGCGACTATTTGCTGGGGTGAGCCACAGCGGGGGAAAAAAAAAGAACTACGGCGGTATTCGGTGGAAAATAAGACAAAAAAAAGAAGACGAAAACAGTCCACCAAAAGGGTTAGACGCAGGTTGCACGCAAACTGGGCTCAAGTTTCAAAGTGGAACGATCCGTCGTGCGAGCGCTGCGCACTCCCTGCGTGGATGAGACCGTAGTGTGCACACTGAGCTTTGTGCAGAGAGGGGGCAGCGGAATAAGTTTTCAGCACACACTCACACACACACACACACACACACACACACAAAAAAAAGCCCCACCTCCCGTTGAGTAAGTGGAAAGCGGAATGACTTCACTGGCTGGGTAGCACCATGCACACTCGCAGCCAACCTGAACCTGAGCACCGTGTCAGCATGCATTCTCGATTGAAATGGTACAAATTTGCAACAAAAGCTAAATAGGAAATAACGGACTACCTGATAAATAAAACAATTAACGGTACAAAAAAATTAAACGGGCACTCACCGATACCATTGTTTTGCAAGTAGCCTACTTACTTTCAGTCCTTGAGGATGAGTACTTAATAACGCTTTTAATGTCTTGCGATTTTGTATGTGTTTTATGTTTGACTTCCGATCTTTTTAATGTGCATACAGAAGCGTATTGCTGCCACGCCAGGAAAAAAAAAGTTGAATATCACTTTATAACGTGCTAAATGTTCACATTCTATCGTAATAAATTTCACGTCGAGACTTGAAAAAAATCCACCTAAAAATGTGAAACATTTCACATTAAAACATGAAAAATGTCACATAACGTGATAAGTTATCAAGTTAAAACGTGATGAATGGGACTTCTGACGACACAAAACAAAGCAATTCCTTTCGTTCAAGTCATTAGCTTGTGTCTTATAAATCAAACTTGCTACAGTACGTAACATCACTGCTCTTCTGTAATACTGAAGCTAACTATAATAATGATAATAATAATAATGGGGCAAAGTGTGAAAAAATATATAATTTTAAAAAGACACGAGCCGACATTAGTCTCCGCTAGTGATCTAAACTAAAAAGGAATGTCTTTTCACTTCGAATGAGGAAGTCAAACTCTTAAATGTGAAACTTATCATGTTCTCATAACATTTTTAAACTTGACAGTTAAGCACTGAGCATTGCAAGAATAGAAAGCTAATGAGTGGATTTTTTTTTCTTGTCCTGTATGGGGTTTTACCACATTCTATTCTTTTTTTTTTCATTAATAGTTTACATTTCGCAAAAAAAAATAATTAGTGAGTACCAAGTTTCAAGTCAAGTTAAGAATCAATCAATCAAATCAAATGTTTTTCTTTTCTCAGCATTTTAAGTGATGCCTTGTTAAATCAAGTTGTCTAAAAATTCTGCCACATGAAATAATAATGTGGTTTAAGAGGCGGATGGTGGCAATGTGAGGTCTTTGAACTGCCAATCTTTTCCTGGCTTTTTTTTTTTTACCCCAAACCACCACAGCAACTCCACACACGTGCCCAAATGAAGCCATTTACTGCAAAAGAAGGAGCAATTTCATGGGAACCGAGTATGAAGGAGCCTTTTGTGGCATAACACAAAGCGCAAAGGGAGGTTGTATGGCTGTCTGATTGTGACGCATGCATAGGAAAACTGCGTGCACAATCTCACACAAACATTGCCATGAATTGATGCTCAGACATCTTGAGCACAAAGACTGAACTCTGGACAAAGTAAAGCAAACACACAACCATACACACTACTGTCGGAACTCTGAATGGGCCTGTACGTGCGCCTTGTGGATTATGAAGTAGCCTCATGACCTCTGTAACTTTCTTGAGATCATTCTTGTACAATCTGGGACAAAAGTCAGGGATTCAAATGACAGTTTTGATTTTATAGCCATGTGATAACAGGCTATAACAGTTTGCTAAAATTCATACAATTGGCAATGACCACATCATCTCACATCTCACTATGGTGCTGTGTCAATCAAAACTGACCATTCTTATTTTTGTATAGGCTCAATTTTGGACACAAATCTTGGTTTGGGCCTTATTCATTTTTGCAGATGTGCCTAATTTTGAGTTAGGTTAATGAACGTTTTCGTAATCATCACCTTCAGTCAAGAAAAGGATTGTCCTACGGAAAATGTCAAATAAGTCTGGAGCGCGTCACCACTGTGTTGCATGTGGGCAGAGATTTAATCATGTTTTTTTCTTTCATCCACTGTACTATCGAGTGTTTTTCAAACAGCGAAAAAAAAACATACATAGAAGTAGAGTAATGCTATTAAAATAACAAACCAAAGCTTGAAGACTTTGGCCAATGTATTTTTGGGGAGGACAGCAGAAATGCTGGCGGGTACTGATTTTCGATTGAGTGCAAGACTCCCTGCGTGAGTTTGCAACTTTAGACAGCTGGTGTCACGTGACTTATTTCATCAAAAAAATATGTGAACATCAAGCATCAGAATAATTGATTGTATTTTTTAAAGGACGACAGTGGGTGGCACAGCTATGGGTGGGCCCACAAACAAAGAAGGGGCGGGGTGGACTCAAAGTGCCCTTTTCACGGCACAAAAATGCTTCCATCAAGTTGAGACCCAAGCGCATGATAGCATTTAAAAGGAAGAAAAGTAGCTACTTTGATTCGCCATGATTGAAGTCAGCTGGGACAACTCCCAAAACGGCGCAGCCCTCCCTTTCGCAAAGCCACCAGCCTTTGCTCATCTCCTAAATGACCAACAAAATAGAGCCCTTAGGACTATGTTTATCCATTCATCCACTTTTTACACAGCTTGTCCTCATTAGGGCCACAAATGAGAAAGAGCCTTTCTCAGGTTTGGGAGAAAAGCCACTCAAGCATGAAGAGAACATGCAAACTCCACACAGGAAGGATTTAGAGTGTTGTATTCATACATGCAATAAAAATTAAACTACTATGTTACATACAGTAAATTTATTCACTTCCTCTCAGCTGTGTGGTGCTTGAACACATGAAACAAATAATGTGGCACATCCACATGCACTGTGCTGTTCTGGATCAAGCTTGCAGGGCCAGGGGGGGTGTTGGAGTTTTGGGGGCTTCCGTGACAACCTCATGCTGCTATTATTCTTACAACTTCCTGTTATTAAAGGCGCTCCTGCCCCTCCAAGGCTCTTCGTCCATATCTGGACATGTGAACTCCGGCACTGTTGGACTCCACTTGAGAGGACTCTGGCATTTCCTCTGCAAGGGTGCGGCAGTGATTGACCATTAGGTCAAAATATGGGAATGTGCTGGGATGTCCAGTGGGGCTTTGTACACGTGTGCTTGTGCGTGTGTGTGTGTGTATATTGAAACAGCCATTTTCCTCGAAATGTGTCCTTCACTAATTGCCACAAGCTCTTCATCCAGCCCCCTGCCTTCCTAAGAGTCTAGACTAACAGCCTGTGCTTGACAGCTTGTCGAGAGCTCCGCTAGCTCGCAAAATCCTCTCCTAGCCTCTTAGAGTTCACTTAATTCACTGCACATTCACCAATAAGTCTCTTAGATCATTCAATGACTTGTCTCAAGCGGATATATGCTACGATAGTTTAGGACTGGAGGCTTTGTAACTTCAAAATGACAAATCCGACTCCCAAGCGCTCAGTGAACCAGTTGGCGGGTTGGTGCAAATAAAGTTTTCTTAAAGCATCTTGAGTGCTGCATGGCAGGTGATTTTAACCCGAGGGGGAGCTGAAAAGGTCAATGATGTGTTGAAGCCTTTTTTTTTTGTTGTCATGAGTCATCACAAATAATATGGTCTCCATCAGCTTGCACCCAATGATCACTGCTCTCATCTTGGCTAAGTGGGAGGTGGTTAGTATAAATGTAACCTTCCCTTTGTGGCGTTACGGATTTGTAAATGACTGCTTTTGAAGCCTGAACATCTAGCTCTTTGTTATCCATGTTACTCTTTTCACACATTTATCATCAGCAACAATAAAATATGCAAGATGCTTGGATGTAGCATTGCTCTAGCTTTATTTGGACTCAATGCGGTGCCTGTCTTTATTACAGTATGATTATTCCTTTTTGTCATCTTTAACAAAAACTCCCAATTCACCAAATTAAGGTATAATAGCTCTTTGTTACAGCTGCAGCTGTTGTGAAAGCACTCTATAAATCAGGATGTATTGTATTGTAATCTTGAATAATGTATGGTATCACAGTTTATCCTGTTACATAGTATGGTATGATGACTTATGAAAAATCTACTGCATAAATAAACCGAATACACTGAGTCACAATGTGTGTGCATGTCTATGTGTGTGTGTGTGTCTGTGTGTTTGAGTGACGGAGGGGTCGGCACGTGTGAATGTGTGTGCGTTCGCAGCAGGCCTCCAGATGAGGTGAGTGTTCAGCTATGTGCCTTGACAACAACCTTGAGATATCTTCCCCTCGGGCCATGAGTTTGTGTGTGTGTGTGTGTGTGTGTGTCTGTAACTTCCCAATTGATACACGCACGTAAAGGACGACACAATCCAGCGTATTTGTATTGTTAATTTTGTAGACAGATCAGTGAAACCGGATTAATGAACCCAGAGCAAACACTTAATCCCTCCTTTGAATACAATCGCTTCACTTGTCAGATGAGCATTTCCATGGCACCTGCATTAACAACTCCAGTTTTGGAGATGGCATACATGTAATTGTTAAACTGCTTAAACTAGCAATCAGCCTTTGGCATGTTGTATTTCTTGTCAATAATGTAATTTTCATATTTCCTCTTCCGAGTTTCTCAAAGATTCGCTTGTATTTCTTGTCACGGACATTCATATCAATGGGAGAAGCGAAGCCACCGGCTGTCATCTGATGGAAATAATGTAATTTCATATTTCCTCTTCCGAGTTTCTCAAAGATTCGTCTGCATCACGTTGTCAGAACCATCAACAATGAAATTACAGCAAAGCCCATCGGGACAAAATTCGCCGCGACATGTAAACCTAAACTCTTGTCAGTCATAATTCACGAAACTGAGATAACATAACAATGCCATAACAATGGCTCAAAAAAGTTGGGAAACACAATCGATTCATGAATTGATGAGGAGGTGTGTCCGGCTGTCCCAAGAGCGAAGACTGGTAATTTTGTATGCATGTTCAAATCATGAATTTTCCTTCTTTGGTTCTTCGCCCTCAAAGTCAAAATGTTTTCATCTCCTGCTGAGTCAACCACTGGTAATGAGAGCCAGATGTGATGATGTCACAGCACCACATGTGTGCAGGGAAAGCTTGAGCGTGAGGCCGCCGACATTGTCAAGCACGAGTCAGCCAGTCCATGTTCATAACAGAGACGCGTGAAAGATGCCGAGGTGGCGATGACAAACAGCGAATAAATAATGATTTATGTGTCACGTGGCCTCAATGCAAAGTTGGCAAAAGTATGACGTTAGATTTAAGTAGAAATAAAGATATTCGAGTTGCAAAAGCTACAGCTCTTCAACTCTTGTATTGAAATGAAAGTGGGAATAAAAGGTACAAAAGGTAGTTGGGTCGTCAGAAAAATACTCAAGTGAAGCACAGACACCTGAAAAATCTACTTCACAACTCTTAAGTACTGCCTTCATGGCCTCACTGACCTGCGCACGTGGAATACATCAGCAACTATTCCACATCCCGTAACCACGACCATCCCTTGTTCAGCCGCCTCAAGAGGATGATCATCGACCACATTACAGACGTCACCATGACGACCATGGTTCCCCGTGTGGCTTCTTCTGATCCTTCAACAGAGCGCCTTGATTAAAGGTTCCAGCTCACCGTGCGCTGGGCTCAATGAGTCATCACTTCAGGGAGTCACCTTTTTTGCTGACTCGCTCACTCATAACACTTTGGTATACGACTTTGGCTTTTGGTGGACACTTTTACAATGTTAGAAATGATGTTTGATGTTGTTTTCATCTCATTTTGGTCCAATTTTGGTTAAAAGTAGACTCGCAAATATATATGCATATAGAGAGAGAGATCTGCAGAGGGAGTTTTTTTTAATACGGCTCGTCATAAAGCAAGAGTTCCTATTATTGTGGCAGTTGATAAATGAGTGCATCCATGTATTATTTTTGTTTTAATAAAACAAAACAAAAAAACACCCAACAGGTTAAAATTGTCCTTTTTGATTACTCGTTTTATCCACTAGAGGGCACTGCTGCATCACAATTTTAAGACGAAGGAGCAGCGTGAGCAAAAAGGGAGAACAGTCCTTTGCTTATTTTAAATTACTGTATTATTTCTCATACCTCATGACATTTAAATGAACATGCCATTCGAATAAAAATAACACCCACGTTTGGACTGACCAATCATATATTTTATTTATGAAAAAAATATTTCATGTACCTAATTGAGACATGGGCGGTCGACCGGTTAGAGCGTCGGCCTCACGGTGCAGAGGTGCAGGGTTCGCCTTCCTGTGTGCTGTTTGCATGTCTGTGTGGGTTTTCTCCGGGTACTGCGGTTTCCTCCCACATTCCAAAAACATGCATGGCGGGTTAATGGAACACTCTAAATTGTCTACAGGTGTGAGTGTGAGCGCAGACAGTTGTTGGTCTATGTGTGCCCTGCGATTGGCTGGCAAGCAGTTCAGGGTACAGCAGTGTATTTCCGAATAACATGTAACAGGGATCTCCGATGCTCAAAAAAATATGATTTATAATTGTATTTTTACAAAAGACATTACAAGTATATGGACTGTTGGATCATTCATGCAGCGAACCAATAACACAGGAGACAAGTTCAAAAGGTTAACCGTTTTAATAAAATCCATGTCAAACATCAAAATACTGAAATGGCCAAAAAAAAGGTAATTTTGTACAAATCATAGCGGTTCAAAAAATATAACAAACCATCATAGCGGTTCAAAAAAATATATAACAAACCGTTTCAAAACATCTTTGCAAACAGTAGCAAACATTCTGATTGTTTAATTAACTCTTTTTTTCTTCTTCTTTTTGAAAGCCCTTAGCAGTCAGTTATAAGTGAAGGTGGTACGTGTGCTCTTTGTTTTTATGGGAATACATATGAGCAGTGGAGGTTAATAAAAGTCACATGGGAACAAATGTGCACCACAATACTATTCAGCCAATCCTCCGCAGCTCTCACATGACACTGTTCTTCCCAAATACTGGACTTCACTTTGGATCACAACTATCTGAATTTGTTAAAGCAAGCATCGTTTTATACATAGTTGTCACAGCAAATGTTTGCATTTAAATCCTACGTGATTAGTCACACCGCATCTGAAGATTGGAGCAGGGATACGGTAATACTGTACTGAATGTGGATGACAAAGTCAAAACTGTAATGAGTTCTGATGGCAAAAGCTTGTCATATAGAGACTCGAGCGTGTTGATCACAGAACGTGTCATTATAGGCTACATCATAGAAAAGTGCAGGCACCTCATAGGGAGTGCAGAGACCTCAATTGAGAACTGCTGGTGTGCAGGGTTGCTTCGCGACTCAACTGTTGCGTAACTCGAGCAGATAACACAACAACAACAAGAAAAGAAAAAAAACTCGTGTCTTCTCTGCTGCTTTACTTTGCAAAAAGAAAAAAAGAAAAATACTCCAAGCTGCCGAACATTATGTCTGCGTGGGGTTACTTTTTGGCTTAATTAACTTGAAGTGGAGCATGGTAGTGGTGGTCAGCCTGTACAGCAGCGGTCCCCAAACTAGGGTTACAAGTGTGAACATTTCACTCAAGGCACATGAACGGAGACACACAAAGAGGTGGTTGCGCTCAGAGTAAAAACCGCGATGACAACGACATGACATTGTGTACAGTGTAACTTTGGCCTGTCAGATAGCTGACTTGACACTCACAACGTTTTACTTTTGTTTGTTTTTTTTCTGTCCTCCAATTAACACTCATGCCATTTGAATAGACATTCCCCCCATGAGCATAATTAAGTGACGTTTGTTCCTGATGGAAAACAAAACAAGAAAAAAAAACTCCTGGAAAGTGAGAGGAGACCCAGAAAAATGCATGCGATCCCACAATTTCACTATCATTGACTGCATGCAAATCCAATTGTATTTCCCATTCAACTTTTTACAAAAGGGGTGAAGGGAATTTCGCTCAGACGCCAGAATACACTTTTGAAAAACAGCTCCTATTTGTGTGTGTGTGTGTGTGTGTTTGAGGAATCAGACAGCGAACCAGATCAACTACTCTCGTGGACCACCCCTGGTTTAGAAAACTTTGAATATCATAAATCACCTGCACCGTTTGCTTTGATGATTGCCTCTCACTTTTTGAAACGTGTTTATAAATGTCCCTGCATGTTATTATTTTTAATGACAACGTTAAATACGTATTTCAACGTGCGTGCGCCGAGTGAAAGTGTACAAAAGTCAGAGCTTGTAAAAAAAGGTCATTGATTTAGGTCAATCCAAAGTGAAAAACGTGTGCTACAAACATCCGGAACGAGTCATGCTAAGCACAGAAAGGTCACAGACAAAAACAAAGAACAAAGAGATGTTTTCCTTTGCAAAGTGACATTATTGGATACTATGAAGTGGCTGCCCCCTCCTAACACAGGCTTCATTCAATAACAGTGTAGATTACCATTGAAAATATACTGATCAATTCACTTCAGGAATCAGCCTGGCACGATTTTTTTTTTTTAATCACAACCACTCTATGGCCTTCTGTCCATGTGGTGAATCTTTCTCCATCCAAATAATCCACATAAAAACAATAATCTGGGGCCATGAGTTCACCGCAGAGATTAATTCAAAAAGCATCTGCTTGGAAAACGAAGTTGCGATTCTACTGTGGGCTAATGTTTGACCCACAACCTATTGACAGAAATAGCCTGCTACCCAAATGTTGACTCATTTTGTCCGGTATAAGGCACATGATTGAGAGAAGAGGCTAATTGGGCCATACCAATAATTTATAAGACAAAAAGTAGCCATCAAAAGCTGTTCAATTCGAAACTCTTTTGGTCACCTTTCAAAATTCCCCAAAAGCCCTGAACTGGGATGAGCGCGAATGGTGCAAGGCAAATGTTTGCCTTTTACTCTGTTTTTTTTTTTTTTGTTTTTTTTCTCCTCTCCCCTCACAAAACTCTCTGCTTGGTTCTCACTTGGCTCTCGTGAGATCCAATTCAAATTCTATTTCAGGACTTTTATCGCGGCTCCTGTGGAGAACAGGGACATGCGACCCACGTGACTCAAACCGTCACATCAAAATCGCTTCCCAAGCTAAAGCCCAGAAAAAAAAAAACAAAACTCTCTTCACGCGACCACTGAAAGTCCAAAGATGAGCACCCTTTGCTCACACTTGCGTGTATACATCAAACCAACACATTGGATGGAGAAGACAATCTCCCAACGTGCGTAAAATCCGAACGCTACACATTCTAAAAATCAATTACTTTTTTTTTTGTTTGTTTTTTTTTTTTTTTTAACACAGAGTAAGAACACATACAACTAAATGAACTTGTTGGAAACTTGCTGCACTTTTCATTGAAGAGGACACACACTAGAAACTGAAAACTAATGTGGTTGTGTGTTGCATTGTGTCTTAAGCACCATTTTGGATTCCAGCAAAGGGAACGGAAGGCAAAGTGATTTTTTTTTCCCCCCATCCGGAGGAGGGATTCATACACCATCCCGTGCCTCGCACTACAAACCACTTGTCCACCGCGTCGCCGTCTTTGCAACAAGGATGCAAGAGAAGCAGGAGTGAAGAAAAGTGGGGAAGAAAGAGAATCACAGCTTTGGTATTCAGAGTGAGGTGAACAGAGTTCATAAATGCACTGAATAACGTGTTGCATGTGCTCTTGCTTCCTTTGAACAATTCTCACAATACTGTACATACCAACAAAAGGAGTACTCGGGCCAAATTGAAAACAAAATGGAGACTATGAGATTAAAGTCGTAATATTGCGAGATAAAACGTTGCGTTGTAGGGATGAACGTCATATTACGAGGGAAAAAAAGTTTTATTTTGAGATAGACAGAAACATTAAAGTCTATTTTAGGAGAAAAAAATGTGTCATGCTGGGACAAACCGTATTATGAAAATAAAGTGTTTTTTATTTGCGTGCACGATGCAAGACGTACTGTATTAGGTGAAAAGTCTAATAAAGAATTTTAAATATCTAAAGAAAACAGAATTTAATGAACCCACACGATCTTTGCATTTGCTCATTTATTTTGACACTATTAACTTATCCTCTATCATTTGCTGAAAAACTAATTTTCGTTGTTGTTTTTGTTTTTTTCTTCGGTACGATTTGCTGGCATCTTGATGTCCAGTAAGTACGTTGAAGTGTGTTGCGACATATATGCACATTCATTTAGATACCAGCATCAATTTGAGGACATTCTGTGAAGCAATAGACCAGTGGTGTCCAAACAATGGTCCGCGGCCATTTGCGGCCCGCTATCCATTTTTAAGTGGACGGCAGAATAGACTAAAAATGACATTTGATGTTTAAAAATTTGTTTCGTATACTGTAGAGCTTTTCGAAATTTACAAAGATGCAAAAATGTTTACGTGGGCAAATACTACGACTTTACTCAAATTTTTGTGGGAATATTATTTGGTCCATGTGGCCGTAATACTCCTTGTACAATACTAGAGCCAACAACGTATAAGTCACAGGCATAAAAAGTGTTACTGTGTAGTGCCGAGGGGGGGGCTGAGCAGTGCTGCCCCCAGTGGTGCAGTGGTGTAAAGGCAGGCTTGCTGAGACACTTCCATGCAGCCGAGAGGCGGTGATGGACGTGACAGATGCTTGTGTTTAATACTGTATCAGTCATTCCTCCAGGAAGAGGCGTCAAATAAGGCTCCGTATCCCCGTCAACGCAATTGAGTGGTCACTTGGAAAGTCTCTGAAGTGCAGCTCGGCGAGTCGTCAAGGTGAACTTGTTTTTTTTTGGGGGTTTTTTTGTGTATTTTTGGGGGAGGGGTGTGGAAGGTGCACGTTGTAGACAAACCAGATGTTGTGAACTTCAGGGTTTGCTCTCAATTTTAAAAATGTGGTCCAATTCAACTGTCAAGACAATCATGAACCCTTCCTCGGAGGAAGTCGATTGATCTCCCTCGAATGAGAGTCGTGTAAAAAGGTGCAAGGGATTTACAAAAAAAAAAAAAAAAAAAAAAGCACGACTTGTATCAAAATACTTAGTTACATTGTGTCACTTCCTGGATATCCAGTGCTGGTTGTAGAAAGGTAGATCGTGGGCAAAGAGTCTGTGTGTGCACGCTAACAGTCTGTATAGTAGAAGTGAAAGGCAAAAGTGAGCTGCCCCCTCACCCCCAAAACCGATTCCCCAAGTCAAACTAAAACCAAAATGGAGCTGACCAAGACAGAAGGTTGTGACGAGGAGATATTGACAGCCCTTGCTCCCAGTCCAATCACAAGATGGACGGGATGAAGCTCTTGTGGGGGGTGGGGGGGACCAGGGAAGTGTGCTGCTGCTCCACACGGGTACTCGTGGGTCAGGGAAGCACTTGGGCCTACCGACGCCATTACATAGGCAGAACTGCACTCTCGCGGTTGTAAAGAGGCACAATACAGTACATTCCCTCTTACCACTGAGTCAGGTTTGCATCAAGAGAGAGAGATTTGGGGGAAGGAAGGTGGGGTCGAACTGGGACCTCTTCTGTTGCGGCCTAGGAGACGTGCGGCGAAGAGGACGGCTGTCTCCAGAAGCACCAGCCTCGCTTGGTGTGCTGCTTGCGCAAGATCTCCTCCTCGTGCTCACGCTCCTTCTGCGAGCGCAAGTAGCGGTCCTCCTCCTTCAGGAACCAAACGGGGGGCCAGCGCTGCTTCTCAAAATGCTTCTGGTTCTCTGCATATTGACACACAGGTAGACTGACCTGTTATCCCTTACATGCTGTTCATTTTCCAAGAAACGCACAAGATGTTCCAGCTCAATTTTGACCCAGGCCATGAATACAGTAACAGTATAATTATGTATGGATCATGAAGAAATGGATGATTGACAATTTTTTAGAGCAGCGATTCTTAACTGGTGGGTTGGTACCCATTTTGCGTGGGTCGCGGACAGCTAGTAAAACATGACATATTACTTGTTTTCCAGTTACAAGCTACTCTGCAAACAAATACAGTGCAGCTCAGGACCCCTGCTAACTCCCTGAGCACTGCACCTCCGCTGAGGCAAAAAAAAAAAAAAAAAAAATCTACCATCTGATTTTACTCCATGTTTTTTTCCATAGTCACACTGCCACTAGAGAGAAAAAAATCCAAATAATGTCATATGGAACCATGCAGTGCAATTCCAGCCTTGTGGCTATAAATTCAACTGACTCATAATAGCTAAATAGCTAATTGGCCAATTGTTTGCCAAACGGATCATCCTCAGGCAAGAACGGCAGCACGTGTGGCTTTACCTGGAGACATGGCCTTCATGTCTTTAGGAAACTTGCGGCATATGCTGTTATAGTTAGTGCAGATGTGATGGAGGCACCAGGCAGATAGCTGCTTGGCATTGTGGAACTGAAAGAGGGGAAACAAAATGAAACAAAAGCGAACTTTAGCCATTCTCAACCCATAGCTGACTTCATGAATGCCCTCCAATATTCCATTCAACACACCTGGGCAAGCTCCAAATAGGCCAAGACGTGTCCGTCGATGTCAACTCCTTTCACGACCAACTGCAGAAGCTCATCAACAGCGTGCTGCTCTGGTAACGCACAGGCACATAAATAAGCGCGTTAGTATTTGCCGTCTCTCGTCTTCTCCTCCCTTGAACGATGGCTGCCGAATATCCTTACCCGTGAGGGCGACCAGGCGTGGTAAACAAAGCCGGTTGGCCACCACTATTAGTTCAATGGCCTCCAAATCAGGACACGGTGTCAGCATGGCACAGTACAAGAACTCCAACACGCCTCGCATACACGGGGTACTCGTGGTCGGGATGGGCACCTGCATCATGAGGAGAAATATACAAGGTGAGTTGGAGGCAGCAAGACAGTATGTCAATATTGCTTCCACTATGAATGTACAATACATTTGAATTTTAAACCTTTAAAAAATATATATTTAGTATTTTCTGAGGTATATTTACTGTAATAAGTTTGAAAACCACTGCCATCAAAATACTCTAACTGTAACAGATCTCTGGATATTTCTCACAATTATCTACAAGGGTGACTACATGCAACCCACGGTAAAGGGCACTTGACTATCAATACAAAACAAAGGAGAAGGTAAAGGGCAGAGGACATCCTGTTCTGGTTTAGCTGCCATTCTCTTTGATCCCAGCTCAGTTTGAAGCATTGATGGTTGGTAATCGAGGGTGTTGTGTGTGTGTGTGTGTGTGTATGTGTGCGTGTGTGTGTGTGTTGTGTGTGTGTGTGTGTGTGAATATGTGTGTGTGTGTGGGGGGGGGATACAAAAGCATGCAGGGATACAGGAATCACCATCACAATGGTAATCTTGAGGACATTTGTGACTAGCATGCTTACAACAACATGAATGAGTACATACCAACAGTTTTGAAAAAAAAAAATCAAATTTTGACTTTTGAGGGTTATTTCAAAAAACTTTTGGTTGAATTTCACTTTGGAGTGTTCACCTTCTTCAGTATATTTTCCAACGTCCTTGCAAGTGTACACAGTGTACAAAATCCAAATGAGCGAAGCTGTTTTTTAATTACTGATGACTTCTGGGTGCCACTCAGAACCCATTAAAGCAAAAAAATCCAAATGAGCGAAGCTGTTTTTTAATTACTGCCACTGCGGGTACGCAACACAACCGGAAACTATCTCCTGGTGAAAGAGGCGACCTGCGCCCTAACCAAACCACTGAGTATACCTACTGAGGCCCTCTTCAACTTTCATTTCTCAAAGCAATTAGGAGAATGTCAGCTTGGCAAGACCTCTCGTTATGACTAAAAGTCACAACACCAAGACCAGGGTGGTCTCAGGAGCTTGGAGCCCCCAGCTGAGGCTCATGAACATTAATCACAGGTCGCACTCACATTCATGGCTAGTAAATGTAGGCACTGTATTGACAGGAGCTCTGGGTCCCTAATCCTGGGAATCTAAGTGTCCACCAAAAAATAAAATAAAAAACCCCGCTGGATGAAAGGGTACACTATACTTTATAACTTCTGTGCATAAGTCTACACACCCCTCTTCGAATGCCAGGTTGTTTACTTCCTCTCTCTGGAAAAAAAAATAAACAGGTCAGATTGACAGTGGAAAAAAAAGATTTTATTCATCTTGATCTCTTTCTTTTATATAAAAACCTGGCATTAGAATATGAGTGTGTAGACTTTAAAAGTGTCGCATTTCATTTCTGCAGACATTCACCAACAATTAATTGGTTTCGAATGTAAATCCATTAACACTGTTGCGCGCAGATGGCGTGAAGTCATGATATCACGCAGTGAAATGCGCGAGGCTAAAAATACAGAGGAGGAAGTGTGACATGAACATGAAAATAGAACAACACTGGCTGATCACATGCTGCTTTCACAGGTTGAGGAGTTTTTCCTGAGGGGATGCTCCGCTCCACCCTCGAATTTGAGTGTACTTTGCTGTCATGTCACCTACTGATTTGTATGCACTTTCACTAACAACCTCACTGCGGCTGCTCCCAGAATAGATTTACTCTCTTCCTTCAAAATAATATTTGCAACCGCTCACGTTGTATGGGTTGAGATTGAATAAAACCCAGAGGCATAATGTGGAAAAAATATCAAAGAAGCTCTTTTTGAGGGTCTAAATTTGCAGTCTGAAGTCAAAGACCCTGAAAAATAGCATATTTTGAGTTGCAGGATTGAGAGGTCTGGTTCTGGAGGATCAAGTGACCACAAGATCACTTCCTCTCACTGAAAGGAAGGAAACATCACACATGCAAAGCAACGAGTCTTGCGAAGTTGGTTTTGAGCAACTTCATAATCATTCTTTTTGTCCCGATATATTGAGATGACAACAGCATCAGTCATCTTCTAAAGTGCTCTGGTAACTCTCAAATGATCTTTGAGGATGCCCGACTGACACTGACATTAAGTCGGGGTAAGATGTTGAGAGTAAGAGTTATTATTTAGAATGTTGAGCACCTTTTGCTTCGCAATGCTCCGCGCTACCCAACGGTGCTTTAAAATATCCTTTTAAATGAAGCTTTCTAGATATCATACACTATGTTATGGTGAATTTGGCGATAGGGACTAATGTCAAGTCACTTAACAACTGGTGCGCACTGCAATCGAGTATACAAACACCCCGCCACTCATGCAGTTTTTGCCATTGTCAGAAAAAGTTCCCTCGTACTAAAACAACTCCATTACGCTTGTTGGGGCCTCACCTCCTCAATGTAGCTCTCCATGAACGAGCCACGGAACATGGCCGCCATCCAGTCACAGCTGGAGATGAGCAGGGGCTTGTGGGCCGGGAGGAAGCCATCGTCCAGCCGAAACACCACATCTAAAACCGGGGTGGGAAAAGAGCATTCATCTCGTGGAATGCCACAGAAGCCCAAGCTACAGAGAGGGGAAAGACGGACGAGGCAGACAAAGGCAGAGACAGAAAGACACACAAACAGACAGACACATAGAGACACATGTAGACAAACAGAAAGGTAAATTGACAGAGGGACAAAACAACTTTTGAGAGCAAGGGAAGGAGAACGGACGACGTAAGGTTTAGGAAATGGGGTAAACCGTGTATCGGACATGTGCTGATGTTAATCCAAACAACTATTAACTGTGGTATCATTTCCTTGATCTCTTGGATTCAGTTCTAAATAGACAAAGCAGATCGTTTTGAACAACTCACCAAATAATTATTCAGTGAGGGAAGCTCTCATTAGCGTTATGAGAAAGACTGCCTTCATTGCGATGATAACGACGACTGAGAATGAACACAAAGGAGTGAGACACAGCAGATGCATGGCGTTGGCTGTGATAGCATGCTAGCACAACGGCTTGGGGGGAGACAGACAACACCAAAGACAAAGACGGCACGAAAAGACTGAGACGGGGCAACCAAGCAGAGTGAAGCGTCAGTCAGTCATCAAGTCATTTGATGACTTCTTACACACTTACGGGGAAACCAGCAAATACAAAATGCATATTCTCTTGTAGAAATACAATGTCGAATATACAGTGATAGCAAATGTACACTTTAATGTACATCGTTGGAGACTCAAAGACAATGCTTGCAGTTCACTTTTGCAAGTTTCACTCCCCAACAGTAACGGATGCATACATGGAAAACACATCTGCGATGTCACCAGTGCTTCTGAAGGTTTAGCGAGCACAGAAGATTACCAGCAAAGGTGCCTTTGTTAAGACACTCCTTGATGCGGTTGGCTCTGCGGACGTGGAACGCCTTGGTTATCTCCTGGTTCATGAAACTCTCCCTGTTGAGAACATTGGCCACCATCATCCGCAGGTCAAACACCTCGAGGAGCTCAGCGATGGTGGCCACCTGCATCAGGTCTCCTCGACCTTCATCCAAGCTGCCAGTGTACAAGTACTGCAGCACGGCCTGGAACGAGAGCAGCGGGTCAAATAAATGCATCTCAGGCAGTGCCAAGACTGAAGCCTTGCGTTCGACAAACTAAATGAAGTTCTACTGACAGAGGTGGCAAATTCAGGTCCGGGAACTACACTGAAAAAAAATGGCATGTTGAATTTACTCACATTATTATGCCAAGTGGCTGCACACAAAAGATTAATCTAGATTTAAATTAAAAAAAGAAATGTAAAAAAATAAGTAGATGTGTAGACTACTTTAAAAAATGATCTGGCTCCAGATGATTTTATTTCATGCATCCACGAAATAAAACTGAATAAATTGAACACATCATTTTTTTAAGTGGAAAAACCCCACTAAAATTTAGCATTAGATTTACCTCCCAGTTGAGAAGCAGTATCTGTGGCTACAGCCAAATTGTGGCAGGGTTTTTTTTACTTTCTGGACCTGGATTTGCCCTCTCTGGCGACTGAATGTGGACTAAGGCTAAATGCAAGTAAATACTATAGGTCGGCGTTCAATGCCCATAAAGTGAATTTGAAGTCCATCACCTTGAATGGTTCCTCTTGTATGAGCGCATCCATGATGACCACAGTCATTAGTCGTGGTCGTCCAGTCATGGGGTCATCAACATGCTCCAGACAAACACTCAAGAACCCTCTTCCCCATCCCGAAAGCGCCCGGCCACTCACAGGAGTTCCCAGAGAGTATTGGGCTCGAGAGGGGAGTGCATTATCACTCTGGGAAGTCCGTAACGAGCCGCGCTGGAGCAGCGGGGGTCGATTCAGACCCCGCACGCCACCGTCGACCCCGTCTTTATCAATGTCTAGGCTCTTAGTGCGCCCGGCTTGCTCCTTGGCTCCTCGTCTGCTCAGCTCGTCATCCTCCCCACTGTCCGAGCTTTCCTTGCTTTTGTCCTGCTCCCCTTGTGGAGCCGTGCAGGATGCATCGAGTTCAAGGGTGAAGAGGTCATAGAATTTGGAGCAGGAAGTAGCCAGATATACTTTGTGTGCGAAAACACGAGTGGAGCCGCCCTGCAGCAGAAAAACAACATCTGCACAGAGTGGGTGGCAGAAGAGGGAGTCGGGGCCCTCACCGTCGGAGGGAGGGGGGTCTGGAATTCCCACTATGGGGCGTGGCGGGCGAGGAGGCAGAAAGGGCGCCTGGAGAAGTGGCCTTTGGACTTTTTTCAGGTGGGATTTCCAGAACTGCAGGTGACGGCGGGAGATGAGGGCGGCTCGAATGGCATTGTCAAAAACATCCTTGACTCCAAACTGGGCGACGATGCTCGTCTCGTAGTAGGGTATCCCGAGCTCCTTCGCCACCTCGTGGCCTCTCTCGGGAGGCAGGATATCTGTCGGTTTGATGGGTCTGTGGGTTGGAAGAGATCACGACGGTATTCAGGCTAGTGATGCAATGTGAATGACGGCGGGATTACGCCCCTAAAACCACTAAAAAGACCTAAAAAAAGTTAAACTCGGATCAAAATCTGTCCATTAAGGACGGATACGGAAGGCTTCTCACTTGGCGAGGGGTCGGCGTGCACGATTAACTGCATCCAGGTCAGCGTAGCGGAGATCCAGCTGGCAACCAACCAGGATGATGGGCGTCCGTGGACAGAAGTGCTTGATCTCCGGAAACCACATGGTGCGGACATGGCGCAGGGAATTGGGATTAGCCAGAGAGAAGCAAAGCACCACCACATCCGACCTGGAAATCAGGAAGGAAGATAAACAGCCGTTGCTCCATCTGCTTAAACTGAACTGGGATCAGAGATAAGACAGGAGAGATGATGACAGACAGGCTTTTGAAGGGAGAGCTGTACATTGTCACTTTGTATTAACAAAGGCATTATTGGTAAATGACGCTGCAACGTGGGTGCGCGTGTGTATACACAACCCGACGGTTGGTGACTATTTGTATTCGCTCTTAAAGCACTTCAAAAGAAGGCTAATAGTGACAAAGGATAAATATGTACAGACACAAATTTGCACACCATCACACACACACACACACACACACACACACACACACACACACACACACACACACACACACACAACCATCTGCGGTTAATCTGGGAAAAAAAAAGTGGTTCTGTTTGGACTTCTTGGTAATGTTTAAGAGAGTTGTGTGTCAGTGACTTAGATCATTTAGTAATACATGACAAGACTGACAGAGAAACATCTGCAATTACTAGAAAAGGCTACTCACTTGGATTTCATTATATACACAATTGTTTTGTTTTTTTCCCATTCATCGAGTGTACCTCGGTGTGTTTCAGGCCTTGGCCACATGTAAACAGGTATTTTTATTGACATTCTTTGAGGTGAGTTTGCATCAAAACATGTTCACAGGCAGTCAAGTGAACATCAACAAGGAGATACCAGAAAAATGAGACCTGAAACAGTTTTGATAGTTTTTTTTTGTTTTGTTTTTGTTTTATTTTTACCTTTCCCCACTGCAATCTCACCTAAGCTCATTTTCCCTTTGACATACAATACACTAGCAAGCCATTACATCACACACGGACAAGCAGCCAAGTCTTACCACCTCGGATTGGATTTGTATAATAACAGGATCACCGCATTGCCGTCCGACTACACTAGAGTGGTGGCTGTAGTGAGGAATTGTGGCTCCAATAAGACACGTTTGTTTCATAAAATCACGCTCAGCTATGCTGATCTTTGATGATGAATGTTTTGCACGGTGTGTCTATTTGGGTTGTGACTTTTCAAGAATAATGGGAATGCTTTGAGTGGATTTAAAGACCACGTTATGGTTAATAATCGACCGCCGGCTATTATGTGACATAAATGGGCCTGTCAGCATTGCATGTGTTTATGTGGTGCATCCACACTACAAAGGTCACCAGTGTCCCGATTATGTAAGGACACACACACACACACACACACACACACACACACACACACACACACACACACACACACACACACACACACACACACACACACACACACACTGGCACGTACAACATGTCCAATAATAATTCCGATTTTTCTAAAGAGAAATGTAATATGTGTACTAGTCTACTGTGACATAATACCCCTCCATGTAGCACAGAAAAGGCACGCTTCTAAATCAGCTTGCAAGAACAATGCTTCTTTAGAAATCACTTTAATTAGCAGGAGAAACATTTTCTTTCTTAATTATATCGGTGCAGATTGAAATTACAAAAATATAGTTGAGGCTAAGGTTAAGTGTGACTTAGCCTATTTTCAGGATATGATTGTGCTTCGCCAGCTCCCCCCCACCCCCCAACCCCCAACCTGAATTTTCCACGCCTAACAAGGCATGTGACAATGCTTGATGTGATGTTTTGAGTTTTGGTATCAACAAAGAGCGGAAGATGATGTGCGACCGTGAGCTTAGTCATGCGTTCATGAGCGGGGACAGGTGCCGTGTGCGGCAATGAACAAGTGAATGGACAAAGACCGGAGGAAAGGAAGAGGAGAAGGAGAAGGAGGAGGAGGAGGAGGGGGAGGAGAGGTTGATGCCTGCCGCTGCAGACGTCAGGCGGGCAGGCGGGCAAAAAACAGCTGAGCTGGCGCTGCGTCTTTATCAGCTGACTGCAGGCTGACAAAGCATCCGGAACATTAGGGAAGGTGTGGAAACACAAACAGGGACAGAGGACCGAGTAAACACACTCTCAAAAAGAATGAAATAACAACGGAGGCGAGGCATTCGGTGCCACAAATACTGTAGATGCACAAACGCACACGCCTGTTGCTTGACTATACCAAAAGGTGTCAGGGCGACGCAAAATCCATCGACCTGCTGTTGCGAAAAGTGAAACGCTGCACAATGTTGTCAGTAAGGTGTATCAAATCAAAGATTGCTCGCTGGAATTTGACATTCTCTTTGCCGGTTGTGCAGAATGGCTTTTGCATTTCATGCCAATAATGCAGCTTTGATCCCGGCATGCCGAGTAAGAGGATCAAGCCATGATCCAATCATGTCTGCTGGACGATGGGCGGAACAGCCGGAGGGCAGAGTTCTGGTGCTTGGGTCACAGAGAAAATACCTTGTCAATTCTCTGACCCTGTTGGCGTTGGATTGACTGTTGAGTTATGTCACAATGATGTCAACAACACTAATGTGAATTCCCTTTCGGCTTGTCGGAACAGAGTAGGCGTGTGTGTGTGTGTGTGTGTGTGTGTGTGTGTGTGTGTGTGTGTGTGTGTGTGTGTGTGTGCGTGTTTTTGGTCTCACCTGCCATAGGCGAATCTTCTGTCCTTGTGATGATCCCCGAATGTGTCCCAGAGCCTCAGGGACACGCTGACCTCATCCACAACATCACGAGATCTCTCTAACACCTGTAGCATAATGGCAAACGTGCAGAACAAGCCTCAACACCATGTGACTTTCTTCGGCGCAACTTTTTCTTGCATTCATTTCCTCCACACTTGATCCTGCGTGTCTTGTGTATGCGTGTGCCCACCTCCTGGCATACACGATACTGGTCGATGGCCCAAACTGTTGGCACGTGGGTGGCGAGCAGCTGATACTGTGTGAGGGTGGCATTGCAAGCCCGGGCACATATGAGCCTGGTTTTGCCCACTGCATTGTCCCCGACCACCACGCATTTAATCGTCTCCACATTGGGCCGCTCATAGTCTGTGTCTATATCCATGGAGAGGGCCCTGGGGAGAAGGCGAAAGAAGGGCAAAAGGTCAGTTTCCATGTAGATTCTACATATACCATATTAAAAAATGTTTTTTTTTAAAGAGAATTCTATTGATAAGGCTTCCAAAAGGGGAATGAGTCATCATTGGGACAGTCGAGGCTCTTGGCATGTAGGGACAGTGGCTTCTAGATGCGAGCCAAGCTAGGGAGGCTTTGTCAAGACTCTGAGCGTCACTGACCAGTATTTGGAGGACTCTGCCAACTCCTCTCTAGAACACATGGAGGGAATGCAGAGCTATTTCTGTAACAGTAGCCAGAGAAGGACAGAGAAAAAGAGAGATGACGTCGTCCGAGCGCGCTGTCCTTTGATCACCTTGCATATCTAACCTCATTTCTCGTCACCTTGCGCATGCTGGACAGCATGTTTTAGAATCGTACCGGATACAGAGGTACAAATGTAGAAGATGGCTCTGAGCGAAGCGAACGGCGAGGTAAGAGAATATAATAATGCTCAAAATATAGTGAAGGTCGAGACCATATTAATTTGACGATATGTTTAAAATTGGGGTTTTAGTCCATGGTGGATTTTTTGTGGTACATTTCTAATGTTTCAGTTACCTTTCAGGGCTTGACCCCACCCTTAGATGTATAATGTCCCTAATATGAGAAAGCATGAGTGCACTTTTCATATATAGCAACCAATGAATTTGCTGATGTTTTTTTCCATCAAAGATATATAATTAAACGTTTTTTTTTTGTGCTGTGAAACTTCTCTTTCACATTTCAGCCCAGTTGTCGGCGATAATGCACAAATCAGCTCACAGTGACCCCAAGGGAAGAAAGGCGATGGCCACTGTGATTGGATAATGTATAAAAAGAGGCGGGTCTTGAGGTTATCGTGTGAATCGACAGGTTCCACTCTTCTCTTGCACACAGTGAACAATGGCCAAAAGAACTACCGGCGCTTACTTTCCTCCCGGTAAGTGTCTGCCATTTTGCCCAAATGCTTGCTGATCTCGATCTTGACTAACCGTCAACAAACCAGGCAAACAAAGCAGATCAGTTGCTCTCGGGACTCACTTTCAAAATAATTTTTCTGAAGACACCGTGGCCATTTCTCCTTTGCCAAGCCACAAAGCAAATATTTGAATGCCAATTTTGTACACACAGCCCTTGTAGAATCTTCTCTGTTGCATAACCATCCCCCGCACAGAGTTTTACCGATCCAACAATCCCTGAAACTTTTTCAAACAACCACTCGGGGGGGACTCACAAATAGAACCTATGAAACATTCATAAAAGGCCGCTGCTTGGTATTCCATTGACGTGCTTGTCTTTAGTTACGATCGGCTAAAAATGGCATCCATTCACGACATGAGCCACACCAGAAGCCCTGACCTGCACTTTGTGTCGTCACACATCTCCAACCTGCTTGACACTCCACGACCGTTCCGCCATAAATATGCTCATTTACAAACAGAGCAGGCACCCACTGCATCGGTTGGGGCGGAGGGCAACCCCCTCCGTCTGCCCCCAAATCCAAGTGTCTTTGCGAGGTTGACGAATGACTTTTAATTTGTTTCCCTGAACGCTTGTCTGTCTTTTTAGAACTAATAATGCATGGTGGCAGACAATTAACGTATTCAAACCTGCCATCCCTTTTTGATCTGTTATCAGTTGTTTAATATGGATCCAATAATCAGGTATCTTGATATGAAAAAAAGAAGAAAAGAAAAAGAAATCCAAGGTTTTTTTTTAAAATAAATTGTTCTCTGTGTTTTGAAGGAAAATATATAGTTTGTGCGTGTGTTGAGATCTCAAGTAGGATTAAAATCACATTTTCAACATGATCTAAATACGATGACTCATGCTTTGTTCACAAAGAATCTCGGTAGATGCGGTGGGCGGAGGGACAACTATGAATCCAATGTGTTCAATAATCTCTCTAAAAACTTCTTATTCATCCCTGAAAGATGAGCTGGATATTAAGTAACAGAGTAGAAAAAGGGGAGTGGATGGCCAAGCGGAAGGCCGCATTTCCATCAAAGGGCGGTGGAGATACTTTTTTGCAAAGGTAGAGTTGGAATTGGTAAACCCTCACCCGTCTTGTGATTCCACTGGAAGTTGTGGGAAAAAAAAATATTTCAAGACCCGTTTTGTTCAAGACAAAGTGATTTGTGTGCGTCCCTATTTCAGTTGACCAATCCAAGGACTGTGATTATCTTTTGTTGTTGTTGTATTAACCTTAATACATTGCATTTTGGTAGTTACTCCGTCTGGAAAGTATTTGCGATGGACAAGAGGTTCATCAGCTCAAAGCAGTAAATGTTGAAAAACCAGCGGCCTGCTTGTCCAAAAGTGCCCTTGAGAAAGACACCAAGGCCTCAACAACTCGAGAACAAGCTCGTGCCAGCCTTCACTTTGACCACCGGAATGTAAACAAGATGATGAAAGTGTAGTAAAAGGCCAAAACGAGTTTGACTGCACGGATTTTGATGATACTACATCGTCATTTCAGAAAGACAAAAAAACAATACCAAAGCCTGAGGTTATAGCTCTCAGGGCTTCCAATCCAAAAATCAGATGTGTTGAATGGGATTTCCACAGAGATGAGCCAGAGAGGGATTATTTGAGTCTGAGGGAGGAGGAGAGGACTGTCACCCGCTATTACAATCAGTCGGTCATGCCACAGGGATCAAAAGTGCAAAAGCAACAATAACCGCACAAAGAATTGAGACTTTATCATCCCAGGGCTTGCAGAGACGAAGTAAGAGTAACGAAAGACTAGAAGAGAGGAAGCATGTATTGTTTGCGCGAGCTTCATGCCTACTGGTTAGTAATTGAGCTGTGAAAAGCAAGCGGTACGAGCAGGAGGAGCCGCCGGTGCGGAGAGACGCTCATGGGGGATCCGGAGCAAGCGACCCATGTGGTCTTACATCTCCCCGGTTGTGTGTGTGGGTCAACAGCCCCAACCTTATTATCTCCTGGCGCATTACTGACATGTTAAGCGCCTGCTATCTGGTCTGTGTCTGAATGGTAATGAGCTTATCCAGGTGACCACAATTATTTATAGGGAGAAGCGGAGCAGTTATAAGGGTGCAGCAGTGCAGCGGAAAGCAAAGCCGCGAAGCTCCGGTTTCATTTTTAGCCAATGACCTGTCGTGAACTAGATTTGATCTGTTTTGCCAAGTCATCACCTCTGCAAGGCAGCGATGATGATTGCTGGGACGTGTGAAGGAAAAAGGAACAAAAAAAAAAAAAAAAGAAGAATCTTTTCAGTTGTAGCCATGAGGGAAAGGGCAAATTTTCCACTCTGTTCTACTGAATGCGCAAACAGGATCCTATGGACATGCACAAAGCGACAGATGTTAAAATGAGGGTTGAGTTGCTACATGTGTGGTGTTTTTTTTTGGGGGGGGGGCGCTGGTTTGCCAAATTTCTGCAATAATATGCAGAACTTTCTGTTTTAGAATTACATAATTTTACACTCAAATACCATCTTGAAAAAAAATGCAGAGTATTTCCTTTTCTAACCATTTAGTGACAACGTGCATTCATTAAAAGTGTTTTTTTTTTATAACATTCTGTGGAAATTTGACTTCTGAGTATTTCCTGTTTTTGACATTGTGTGAAAATGCACATGCAAAATATGTCTGACTTTCAAATGTGTTTTTTTTTGGGGGGGGGGGGTGACACAGCTGTGCATCTTGTTGCTCCTGTGCTTCTACTTCCTCCTTCAGTCTTTTCATTCATCCCTCTGCTGCTGAGCTTTGTCTGGCTTCTTCCCAGCTGTGCCCACTCAACCACTCCTCCTCTCCCACACACACACACACACACACACACACACACACACACACACACACACACACACACGACCCCCCCCCCCGCTTTCTTTCTTACTTCAAGATATTTTGTCATTGTAATGCTCTGATAGATGCTCACTCACATCCATCTACAGATGTATAAATCTAGCTCTGGACGTCCCACTTTACCGAAAGAGAGCCAAGAAGCAGCATTAGGCTGATCACCCACCGCTCCCACACCCATTTTTTGCACCCCCACTCCTCCCGCTCTGTCTGCCTCTACGTTATGTAACACCTTTCGGGACCCACTGGAAGCAAGCACTCATCGCAAAATGCACCTCCTTTTTTTGGGTCCATTTTCTTCGGCCTTGAGTTCATCCTGATCACATGACCAAGTCTAAGCGTCTCTGCTTGGCAAGATATGACCCCACTTGCCGCTCACATTATGCTAAGAATCGATGACCAGAGCTTAAAAACAACCCGGGCTTGACTTCTATTTGGAAGTGTTGTTGGAGGAAATGGGCTCACGCCGTGTTATACGCATATGCAAGTTATTCTTCTTAATTTGGTGGCAAGTGTTTTACTCGCCTCTGTTTATGTTATCGAGGTGTTGGGAGACAGTGAGTGCCAAAGGCGCAGCTGTCACAGACTGCTTACATAATCGGGTCTGTAGCCTCTGCTTGGCTCCCCCGATGGTTGACGTTAGACCTCAAAGACACGGCGCAGACACGCAAGCACGCTTGCCTTGGCCCACTGCTGACGGCACGGGTGTTGGTATGCACACAAAATGCACACGTCCCGATGAACGGCAGCGCCAACCACCATGCTTTCCTCTCATCACAACGATAGTAACGTGCTCTTCGTGCCTTACTTTCTTGGCCTTCATTCCTCCTTCACCGGCTATGTTTGCCACTGATTCCTTGTCCACCTCTCAGCTTCTTTCTTCTCTGTAGCGTTGGCACCAAATGCAGTCACATGCCGAAAAATGATCGACGATGGTGGTTAATTTGCCGAAATGCCCAGGACGGGCCCGGAAATACATCAGCCGTTTCGATGAAAATGAACCTTTTCTTGAAATTCCCGATGGCCACCCCGCCCCTGTCGAGAACTGCCAGTGAGCCATGGTCATGGACAATTTAGAGTCTTCGATTAAGACACCAGGACGCCGGACTAGCCGTAGAAAACCATACAAGCGCAGGGACAGATAAATTTCA